AAAAGATCCAATCCGACATAACAAAACCTCAAGGGAAAAAATCCAATTCATCACAAGACGGTAGAGAGGGAAGAACACCATAAGATCCCAATATATTAATAAAGCTCGCGGTACATCAAGATCGTGCCAAATCAAGAACATGAGAGCGAGAGATCAAACACATAGCTACTAGTAGATACCCTTAGCCCCAAGGGTGAACTACTCCCTCCTCAGCATGGTGGCCGCCGAGATGATGAAGATGGCCTTCGGTGATGATTTCCCCCTCCGGCACTGTGCCGGAACGGGGTCTCGACTGACTTTTTATGGATATAGAGGCTTGCGGCGGCGGAACTTTTCATCTACGGTTCTTTCTAGGGGTTTGGGTATTTATAGGAATTTTTGGTGTAGGTTTCACGTCAAGGGGGCCACGAGGAAGCGTCAAGCTCGCTCCAAGCACCCTGGGAGGTAGGGAGCACCTAGAGAGCTTGTTGTGCCCTCGTGGGTCTTCTGGTCCTCCCACGAAGTTTCGCGGGTCTATTTTGGTTCACAAAAAAATACCGTAAATTTTCAGCTCATTCTGAGAACTTTTATCTCTGCACAAAAAACGACACCACTGCAGTTCTGTTGAAAATGGCGTCAGTCCGGGTTAGTTCTAATCAAATCATACCAAAACCATATAATTCTTTTGTAAACATGGCATGAATACTTCATAAATTATAGATACGTTGAAGACGTATCACCAATGCAGAAAAAATTACCCAGAGCGGTTGTACTGCTCCCTCTGTGGAGTGGCCTCGCTGCTACTGCCCCAGCGGTTTTACCGCGTGCCAGGAGTGGTTGTACCGTCCTTATTGTGGTCGATTCAACCGAACATTGCACCAGCCCAACCACCGCGATTAGGGTGACTCCTCTCGTGTAGGGCATGCATTACCCGATGGTTGCTGCCCGGTTGTTCCTGTAGTTATTTCGTTACTGGTATGCAACACATCCGGACTTAGCAATCTCCGGATGGCGTTTTTTGACGATTGTACCAGGTACAGCCCCAACAACCACGAGTAGGGTCATTGCACTCGAGTTTTGGGTGGGGCCCCGGGCGGTTGTCAACCGATTGTTTCCGTTTATATCTATAAAATGGTACAACCGGGACGCCCTGCGGGTGTACCACTTCGGCTCTACGAATGCTCAATCATGCATAGGGTGGTTGTACCGCTGCCCTAAAGTGGTTGTACCGCCCTTGTGCGTTTTTGCGCATAACGGTTGGATTTAGGGCACCACTATAAAAGGAGGTGGTTCTTCCACCTCTCACATACCTCTTCTCTCTCTCTCTCCTTCATTGCTTCCTAAGCTCGTTCTTGCTCGACCTCCTTATCTAGCTAACCAAACTTGTTGATTTTCTAATGATTGAGAAAGGAGACCTGGTTCTACACTTCCACCAAAGGAAATTTAATTCCTCATGCTTTCACTTCTAGATCTTGTTACTCTTAGGTGTTTGGGCACTCTAGACGGAAGAGGTCATCTCGGAGCCACATTCCATTATGTTGAAGCTTCGTGATGGGGTTGGGAGCCCCCAATTAAGTTGTGGGAAGAGCCCCCCAACCTTGTTTGTAAAGGACCAGGTTGTCGACTTCAAGGGCACATCTAGTGGATTCACGACATCTTGAATTGTGCGAGGGTGTGAGGAAAATAGGATGAGTCCTTGGGACCCTTTGGGGAGCATTGTGCGTCCACACCCTCCAACAGAGACATGCCTCCCCCAAAGGAGGGAACTTCGAAAACACATCCTCGTCTCCATCGACTTCACTTGCGGTTATTTTGGTCCTTTACTTTGTGCAAGTTTATTTCATGTGGTCTCATGCTTGCACTTGGTCTCGTGTTGGTTGTCATATAGGTTGTCCATCTAGTTGCATATCTAGACAACCTACATTAGTGTTGAGCCTAAATTTGTAAAAGAGGACTAAATTTTGTTAGTCACCTAATCACCCCCCCCCCATCTAGTCGACCATACCGATCCTTTCATACTCTTACTTCGAAAAAACTTTAACTAAACCATGTGCACTTGCAGGTCATCAAAAGTCAGAGAGATAGGGCGCCTGTCACATTTCTCGTGAGTGCCTACCATCTTGGGATGAGACGAGCCGCCATACTCTAGAATCATGATCAGTATCTACGAAGCGTAGACCATCACAAGCGTGCATGCCTACATTAATTATGTCGGTCGGCCAAATAAAACTCTAAGTGAGCCGCTCAAACCTGGTTCTACCACCTCATAACTGGTGAACTTTCTGGATGGCCCGCCGAATTGTAGTTGGTGCTCAGGGAATATGAATGTTCGGGGATAGACCCTGATCACCTCCCCAAGCTCCTTGAATTGTCGACGTCTAAGATTGAAGCCTTCGTGCTCGCGGAATCCTAAGTACCATTTCCTCGTGTCTTTTGGTGCTATATCAGACACTTAGCAGGCACGAGGGACCCTTTATCCTATATCGCTGACACTGATGGGCCATATAAGTGCGGGTGAGTGAATTCTTTTTGCTGAAATTATACTGCCAGAGATAGTCATGAGCGATGGTCCTCCACGGCCCACGACGATACTACAGAGGAGTTTTGTTGGGAGAGCTCCTAATTAGGGCTTGTAGTGCCCCCTAGACTAGTGGCGCTCACACGCATGCTATATGAGCCGCGGCCCATGAGACCATTTAACCACCAAATATTTGACCGCTCGCCATGAACAATTGACCACTGACTTTCGAGAAAAGTTCATAATTTTGAAAAAAGATCACGACAATGAAAAGGTTCACAAATTAGGAAAAATCATGAAGATAAAAAAATTCAGGAATTTGAAAATGTTCGCGCAAATGAAAATGTTTGTGAATTTATTTTTTTGCAAAATTAGGAAAAGTTCATAAATTATAATAAAGGTCGCAAATTTGAAAAACATTCATGAATTTAGGCAAAGTTTCACTAATTAAAAAAAATATTCATGTTTTTTCTTTAAACTGATAGAAACTTAATAATTTTTTTATAAAAAAATAAAAACAGCAAGAAGAAGAAGAAGAAGAAAAACAGAAACTAAGTGGAAAAAATCCACTGAAAATCCAGCCCAGTAAACCTATGGGAACCTGTTGGGAGATAATGGGCCGGAAGCCCGCATAGGCTAGCAAACACAGGCCTTCACGCTCTTCTTTTCATCCGTTATTTTTTGAATTTTATTACTTTTTCTTTGCTGTATTCTTTATATTTACTTATATTCAGAAATTTTCTAAAGATGTCGATTATAAAAATCACTTTAAATACAAATTTGAAAAATATTCATCGCAGATTTGAAATATGTTAAACATGTATAGAAATGGTTCTAATGTATCCGAGAATTGTATAATTTGTATGTATAAAAAAGACATCAAAACATATATGTGAAAAAAATGCTATTCATTTATTTAAAAAATTTAAATGTCGATATAAAAAATGTTCCTGACAAATATAAAAATGTACAATGTGTATGAAAAAATAGACATAAAAAATATATGTTTGAAAATGTCAATATTGTATTTGAAAAAAATTAAACGTATATATAAAAATCATTTCTGATGTGTACAAAAATATTTATAATGTATCTGGAAAAAGTCGAGATAAAAATATATAAGTTTTAAAAAAATGTATTTAAATAATGTTAAACGTGTGAATAAAAATATTCTTGATGTATACGTAAAATGTAAAATGTGTATGAAAAGAAAGTTGACATCAAAATATAGTCTTGGTGAGGGTGTGCTCCCTGTTAACCCTCCATTTGGTGATTGGTTCACGTTCCGTTGACTCGTCCGTGATGACGCGTCAACTTTATTGCTTTTTTGTGGTAGTCATATTCTCACGTAATTTCGATGAGAATGCTTTGTAAATAAGGCCTAAGAATAAAGAGCACTATTATTTTTTTTTTCTTTTAAAAAAAGGGTTCCGCGGCCTCTGCATCAGAGTGATGCATACGGCCATCTTATTAACCAAAAAACAAGAGCGCTACTACTAGTTTGGACTAAATCACGACACTATTTTTGAAATGGATGGACTAGTTTTAAAAATATCTGTTTTACCAGCCCCACTACGCCAAATTTAACTTATCCACCCACTTTGTATTGCTCTGGTGCAGGATAATCACGCGTGTGAAAAATGGGTTAATCCTCCTGTTACCTTTCTGCACGCCAAAATGCCGTAAGCATTTGCTCATCTGGGGAATGTCTTGCTGCCAATGTTTGGCCCACAAGGACATATCATCACATACATATGCTAGCACACTTAATGAAGTTCGATGGGGATACTCTGACCCTCGGGTCGGGCGGTGGCGGCATTCTGATGTCGTATCCTTTCTGAAGGCGTCGTCTTGGAGTCCACGGTTCGCCGTATACGGCTTCATATCTTCGTAGCTAGAGGTGGTGTTGTTGCGCTCAGCGCCTATGTATCATGCTTTGGGTGTGTGCGTGTGTGGTGGTGTGAGTTTGCACTGCCATGTTAATGATCGTTGCTTTATTTATAAAACGGGGCGAAATCTTTTTTCGATAATGAAGTTCGATGATGGATTTGATTATTTGCCACCATGCGCATGCACAACACAAGACTTTTAAAAGAGAGATTTGGAGATCCACCCTCAGCAGTGCAAAAAGATGACTCCTGCCTAAAATCCTTTGCAAATGCATGTCACCTTCATGGGCACCAACAACCCATTAGTTACCGACGTGCTCTCTAAATTCAACGAGCCAAAGATGACAAGGCCACTAGCTACAAGATTGAGATAGTAAAACTTCCTTCTCACACCCACCATGGTGACAAATGTTCAAATCTAAATGGCTACATTACGCATGCGAGTTCTCACCCCAAATCGATCGATCACTCGCAGCCCGTATATAAACATACATGCGTGTATAGCTAGCTACACGGTGCGCTATGCAAGCTCCTAAGTTGCACCATAGGTTGTCATCAAGCGGGCGCGCGCCTAGCTAGCTAACAAGGTGGCAGCATCAAGAAGAGCATCCTCGATGCGTGTAAGAGCTGCCATGAAGATGGCATACCTCCTGGCCTTCGCCGTGGTCTTGCTCTCGGCGTGCAGCCTCGCCTCCTCGAGGTCGCTGCCCTCGGTCACCACCCATGGAGCCGACGCACAGCTGGAAGGTGGCCGAGCCGCGCGCGCCAAGCTCGACCCTCCAACCGCGAATGCCGATAAACCGCCGGAGCTCGGCATCCGCGACGACGGTGCCATTCAGACTGAGAAGAAAAAGCGCCATGCCGAGGCGCCGCCCAAGCACCACGGGCCTGGCAAACACGCTCCCCCGGCCGACCCTTCGCCGCCGGCGCCTGATCCGGACGGCGGCCAGCCCCCGGAGGTACCTGTTCCGGAGGGCCCGCACGACCAGAACCCGCCGGCGTGGCCGTTCCAGTGGCCGCAGCCGCCACCGGGCAACGACCAGTGGCCGCCGTTCCACCCGCCGCCGCTCCCCGCGTGGACGCGTCCGGGCGACGACCGGCCGCCTCTGTCTCCGTTCCCGTTCCACCCACCGCCACTTCCTGCATGGCCGCAACCAGAACCAGGCGACCAGTGGCCCCCGCTGCCGGCATGGCCGCAGCCAGAACCAGGAAAGCAGTGGCCCCCGCTTCCTGCATGGCCGGAGCCAGGACCGGGAGAGCAGTGGCCGCCGTTCCCGGCATGGCCGCAGCCAGAACCAGGAAAGCAGTGGCCGCCGTTCCCGGCATGGCCACAACCGGAGCCAGGAAAGCAGTGGCCTCCGTTCCCGTTCTACTTCTACCCGCCGCCGATGCCGTCATGGCAGTGGCCGCCAGCACCGTCTTTCCACGGCGAGGAGGAACAACACGCATCTAGGCTGGCGCCGCCTGTTCCAGCGCACAACTGATGCATGCGCACAAGTACACAACCGCCGATTTTGCCCTCGCGGAAGGACACCAAATATTTGTACGACAGGAATGAATCGCAAGGATATCAAATATTAGACCGTGACCACGTAATCAATAAAGCTGGCATAATTTTATATTTACGAGAAGAAGAAAAATGCAACATTGGAGAAGAGAAAGTACTGCACACTTGCATCCTTTGGACAGCAAATCTTTGTCCAAAAGGACCCTGAATCGAATTGCCACAAAAAACCACCCCTGCATCCAAATGATAGAAAAGACCAGGGGCACCGTGATAGCCTCATCCATATTCCTGTTACAAGGGCTGGCCTCATCCATATTCCTGTTACAAGGGCTGGCGCCACGGTGCAGCTAGTCTTTTCTATCATTTGAATTCAGAGGTGATCTTTTTTGACAATTCAATTCAGTAGATGATCGTTTGCTCTCATCGCCTACCTGAAGTTGCCCTTGGGAGACTGATACGTTTTCAATGTATCTACAATTTACAATATTCATGCTATAATCACTTCATTTACATATGGTTATGGCATATCTTTAACAAATTTTATTGGAGTAATGTATTAATCCAGTGCCAAGGTCAATTGTTGTGTTTCTAGTGTTTTTGTATATTGCTTGAAACCAGAAAAATCAAATAAAAATATGGTTGGCGCTCGCTCGGCGAGGCCAACAAGGTTGGGTGCTAGAATCTGTGCGCCGCTTTGTTGCCAATGCACTTGTGTGAGGGTGAGGTCCCCTACTGATTCTTGGTGTTCATGGCCATCAGAGGGCGAAAGCCCCCCCTTCGAGATTGAATCTTCCAGTGGAGGTAAAAGTGCACCATGCAGAAGAGGAGGAGGAGGAGGGCTCTCTTCCGGTGGCGCTGGAGTGTTGTCGGGGAACTGTCATCACATCCATCGTCTCCATCACCTCCACTGACTTCACTACCATTTCCATTGTCTTTTCCTTCATATATATCCCCTACTTGAACATGGTATTCAATGCTATAAATTATTTCTCGATGATTTTTTTTTTGCATTACCGTTATGTGTGAGTAGTTTTATTTCGTCATATGGCCTTGGTAATTTGTTGTGACTGATATGAATTGTATGTTATAGCATGGTGGTGTTCTTCTATTCCCAACATATAAGCATGTCGTGTGTGGATCACACTTTAGGGTTTGTTGAAGATACCTATGCATAGGGTGGCCGGAGTGACAAATATTACCGTACCTGAGTATAGAAGTTGATGCACATAGGATACAGAGGGCCCATAGGTTTTAGGGATAATAGATTTTATGCCTCTAGTTGGGTCACACTTGACAGATATATGTCTAGTTTCCGTAAACACTCATTCTCGTCCAAACCACTTTGCTCCTCTTATGCGTTTGACCGTCACTTTGAAAAATTCATAACAAATTCATACTAACTCGGAAAAATGTGAATAAGATATCATAATGTTCCAAAAAACATCACCTATACGTGCATGTATTGGCATTCATGACTAAAGTGTTGGAAAGTCCCCATCTCAGCTTGAGCTCATATGATCTCAGCATGAACAGTAAAATCTAGAAAAATTAAAAACAAATTCTAAAAAAATGGTGCCAAACATTGATCAATATTTTGTGCTTGCCAAGTTTCATCGGGGACTAACATTCGTGGAAGTCGTGGCAAAAAAATAAAATTAGCACTCCAAAATAATTTGGTTTTGGAGCATTGCTTTTGCTCTCTTTTTTTGCCATGACTTCCACGAATGACATTCCCTTATGAAACAAGGAAAGCACTCAAAACATTGGTCATTGTTTGCCACCAATTATGTATAGATCTTTTTGAATGTTTTTTATTATTTTCTCTCCATATTTTACTGTTCATGCTAAGATCCTATGAGCTCAAACTGAGATAAGGACTTTCCAACACTTTTGTCATGAATGCAAATGACATGCACATGTATGTGATGTTTCTCCGAACATTTTGGTATCTTATTCGCGCTTTTTTTGACTTAGTATGAATTTGTTATGAAGTTTTTAAAATGACGATCAAACGGTCAAAAGGCAAAAGTATAAGACGAGCAAAGTGGTTTGGGTGGGAACGAGTGTTTTTGAAAAATAAGGGTAGATCTGCCAAGTGTGACCCAGCAAGGGGGCATAAAACCAATTATCCCTGGATTTTAATGTTATAGTTGGATTTAAAATCTTAGTAGTTGTGCCTACTTGCTAAGCTTTCAATCATTAATATGTGAACAATGGATTTTGCGAAAGCTTAGCGTAGGCCTCACCCACATATAGAACTGCAATGCATGATTATCGTTCTGGTATTATAGCCAATTGTCGATGGACAATTCTGTAACACCCTGCTACTCCTTTACTTTTTCATGTCTCTCCTCTGCATAGGTAAAAGTGTCACATAAGTGGCCTAAGCTCGTCCACACCCAACTGGAGGGAATAGCAAAGATGACCAATATGCTTTGTCCTGATGTGATGTGTGGAAAGTGACTGCATAGAATTCCTTCACACTTGCCGTCTCAGCATCGCCGGTAATAGTATCATATTTAGCAAAACACAATATCAACAATGACTGTACGGAATCCGTATAGTAGTAGGAAAGTAATAATGCTGGGTCGTATAATATAACTACATGCAGTATCCAAGAACAAATAGCAAGTCTGAGAGAGCAGTTGCACATGCCTTTTGCCATGGACATCATTATCCTGGCCGCCTAGGCCATCTGGACAACAGGGAATGATTATATTTTTCAGCATATCACTCCTAGCTTATATGCCTCAAGAAGAAAGCTCAAAGATGAGCTCCACTAGCTGCTGTTCAGGGCTAAGAGGAAATCCTACCACGCTCTTCCACAATGGGTGCAGACTTTCAGGCCACCTTTGGTATGTAGGATTTTTGTAGAAATTCTATAGGATATAATTTGCAAAGGAAAAATTCCTTTGAAGCCCTTTGGTTTGTAGGAATGGATTCCTATTCCTATATAGGATAGGAATCAATCCTTCACGTTTTGAAGGAAAAAAATATTAGCCTAGACTCAATGAAAAAAATCCTATCCTATGCACCAAATGGCATCTCTTTCTCTATAGGAATTGACATGCATGTCATCTCACTTCCTATGATTTTCCTATTCTTACAAAATTCATATCCTATAAATCAAAGAAGGCCTCAGATAAACAGTCTTCTATTGAAGGAGGAGCTAAGTGCTTTTCTACATCCAAACACCTAGTTTGGGTGTTGCTCTTTTGCTCCATTTGTGGTTATTTTTTGTATAGATAGTAAGATAGATTCATAGATAGTTTCCTTTTTTTCCTTCTTATTTCATGTACATACTTTTTACATAAATTTTGTAAAAATTCCATGGGAAGTAATTCCTACAATTCGGGGTTAAGAAAATAATATAACTACGTGAAGGTGACAGTGTGGACTTGTGAGGAAGCTATAAGAAGGAATTGAAATGGATTGATGTAATGGATGATGCATTGCTTGAGCCTCGTGGGCATATATATAGAAGTACACGATTCACTTGAAGTACAAGACAAGGTAGAATAAATCCTACGCTATCCTTACTTTCCTAACTAATCACGATACTCAACATCCCCCGCAATCACAACGGCAGCGATGCAGGCGGTGAGACTTGAGAAGAATCTGAAGGTAAGCCGACGGACATCCCCCGCATTCATAACGGTCGATGCAGCGTGGAAGTTGTAATTGGAGTGGAAACCGATAAGGTTGCTCAAGCAAGGTAGCCCTTTGTGCCGATGTCGATGTAGCCGAGAGCGTAAGATGGTGTAGTCGTGGTCAAGATAGCCGTGCGAAGGACGTCATGGTCGATTTCGAGTCGGGGTGGCCGGTGTCGAGGTAGTCACTGTGGAGCCGCGGGTACAAGGAGGCGTCGTGTTAGTTATGGGCGTAGTGGTGTCTGGGAAGAGGAGCAGCGACTGCAGCTTGAGGAGGCGGCAACGACGGCTAGGTTAGAAGCACAGTGGCGATGCTTGAAGTAGGCGAGGAAGAACCCGACAACATAATGAAGACCAACGCGGACGGGGGCGTTCATGCGCCTAGGAAGGCAACGTGACGCATGCCATATAGAAGTCGACGCGCGTGGACAGTGAAGTGGACCACGTGTCGCGGTGCTACGTGATAACCCACAAGTATAGGGGATCTGAACAGTTTTCGATAAGTAAGAGTGTCGAACCCAATGAGGAGCTAAAGGCAGAACAAATATTCCCTCAAGTTCTATCGACCACCGATACAACTCTACGCACACTTGACATTCGCTTTACCTAGAACAAGTATGAAACTAGAAGTACTTTGTAGGTGTTGTTGGATAGGTTTCACTACAAAAAAATACACTTCCGTGATGATACGTGTTTGTCACAGTAGGTCGCTTTTTTGTCATGCATGTACATCCATGATAAATTTATGACAGAATTAAGATAGTCATACCTGTGCTGTCGTAGAAGTGTTCCATGACATTACCAAAATTATTATCACGAAAGTGTCCACTTCCATGACGATAAATCGCGCGTCACAGAAGTGCTTTCGTCAAGGGTGATCGCCACGTGGCATCCACCGTAACGGAACGCCCTTAAGCTATCGGGTCGGGTTTTGGATCCGATAACCCGTTAACAGCTCCGACCAATGGGGATTTTCCACGTGTAAAATCATCATTGGCTAGAGGAAACACGTGTCGGCTCATCATCGGGACAGATGTCATCCACTCACTGGACAGAAGGCGCCTATGATACGTTGACACGTGGCACGGCCCAACAAGTTTAAATGGGCCGGCCCAACTAAAGGCCCACAAGATTTTGCAGACCATAATGGGCCGGCCCAGCTAAAGGCCCACGAGATTTTACGGACCATAATGGGTTGGCCCAGCTAAAGGCCCACAAGATTTCGCGGGCCATAATGGATCGGCCCAGGTACAGGCCCACAAGATTTTTGTGTGCCATAATAGGCCGGCCCAGGTAAAGGCCCACAAAGTTCTTGCGGATCATAATG